TCTGCATTTTTCATCGTTCCTCGAGAGCCACGAAAGAATCCCATTTGGGAGAACGGATTGAAGATCTTCTCACTATTGGCTTTTGGGGATTCCCCAACCAATGAACCAATGTCCATTATGCTTCCTTATGGTATGGTGCTCATCGTGATCGTTCCACGCGTGGAAATGGGAAGGCCTTCATCGTAGAAGAATCCGAAATATAATAAATATAATGCATACTTCTCTGCCTTCCCTTCTGGATTGCTTCGGTCGACGCCGCCGAAGGGAACAAGCGGAAGGGTGTGTATATACTATTTATAGACGGGATCGACAGGAAAGAGTAATTTAATCAGGACTCATCTCAAATCAGAAGGCGGATCAATTACATTCTCAGAGGCTTCTGAATAGCAATCCAGAAAGAGAGAGAAAAAGAGAGAGAGAGAGAGAGCCTCCAAGGAACAGTACAGAATAAGTGCATCATTCGCATCAGCCTATGATGAGTCTCTATGGAGGAAGCATTACGGGAGTGATTGCCTGCAATGAAGAGTCCATTCCTCTCCCTTTCCACGGACACAAATCCTCCCTAGGGGGAGGGGAGGGGTTATATATATATATATATTCCCTGGGATGAGGAGCATCTCCTCGGCACAACTCATGTGGTGAAGTTCGCCTACCAGGCCCCCAGGGGGCTCTGAGCGTCTTTCGTCCGAGTCCATCGGGACGGGAGAACTTTTCGTTTGTCACTTTCGTATCTTCTGATTAGACAGAGTAGATCCGATTATCCCGAGGAATTACATTAATTCCACATTGACTTTACTTTGTACATCACTAATGATGAACAAGATGAATTTATTAATGATGCTAATGAAACGATGAAATGACGAATGATGATTAATGATGCTAATGAAACGTTCGTTCCGAAACGAATACCAAATTTTAAAGGTGAAAATGATATAATTCTTTCTGGGAAAAAAAGATGAAAAAAGATTCTGCGATTTTTCATAAATCTTCATAAATCTGATTTTATGAAAATTGATTTGCTGCATGTAAAAATAAGAAACTCAGAGCATCCAGATAAGAAACTCAGAAATAAAAATGAGGCAGCGAAAAACTCAGCGACAAACCAAACGAAACCATTTAGCAGATTTTGAGATTTAATGGCTGTGAAAGCGTCCTCCTCTGGATTGAAGGTGACAAACCCATAATTTGTGGGATTCAATAACTTAGATTTCGATGAAATGCTGATAATCCGTAAGGAACTCAAAATAAGTTAGAAAAGCGACCAACATCGGACGAAGATGAGGTTTTCGTTTGTGCTTTGGTCTCGGCCACAAATTCGCAGGGGGATTGGCGTGCAGACGAGAATATTGCCACTGGGTCAAGAACGACCTTTAAAACTCCGCTTTTCAACTTTCCCGTGCGATTGACACGACCACTGCTTGTTTCATTTTATTTTGATGGCGAGAATTGAGTGAAAAATCATGAAATCTCAAAATCACTTGGTATATCGACACTCGTCCCTCCCCGCTTCGAAGTCGATATTTTCTGGTATAGGTAAATTTTAAATAGAAAATTCTCATTTCAAATAATAATATCTTCCATTTAAAACTCTCATTTCTTCTAGATTTAATTAATTTGAGGCATCAACCAAATCTTTTGGAGTAAGTGCAAGGAACTTAGTATTGCGTGCTGGGGGGAATTATTTTTTTTTATCAGAAACAAATTTCAATTATCTTTCACCCATTTGCATGGAATGGTTCGCCTGTAATTTTCTAACGGAGTATTGCATGGTTGAGGCTAGAGCGTTAATAAAAAGTTCATCCTTGCTCCTAGCACTTCATCGCTTTCCAAAGTCGATCGCTAATCTATGGCTTATCGTTGTCTTTCTCCCGTAGAGAACGACGGGGCGTTTTAAAAATCACCTAATGCCATTGGTTCTGTTATCAACATCCGCTCTTCTAATGACGTCAATCAGAACATATATTTTTTTTAATGAGCGCATTAAAAATTCGCACATTAAAGAAAAGTTTCGTGAACGCTATTCCTGCTTATTCAGCCTATTCCTCATCACTTCGAGTCTTACGCTCAAAAGAATACAACATTTTGTCCGTTGGTTTCTGAAATTCTTAAATCATGCATTAGAACTTGATTTTTAAAAAAGCTACGGTTTCCATGTTCGCAAGGAACTCACAGGGAAATGCGTGATAGCGACGACAGCCTCATTGAGTTGAGCCAGGGTCACCCGCTCCCCCTCGCCCCCGGCCTCGTCGTCGGCGAGGCACTCCGCGAGTTTCACTTTCGAGGCCACGTGGCTCGAGGAGGAACTCATCGTGCGGGCGATGGGATGCAGCAGGGAGGGAATGGGGGGGGGATGTGCCTCCTTTCCCCTCGGTGGGTGCGTCTGCTCGCGGCGCAGGGCAAAAGCCGACCGATGCCTTGCTCTGCTTCCCCCGGTAATTTCGGTCATCGCGGGAAGGTTGACTTGAGCGGATCTATCTCGGTTCATCGGATCGGGTCGCTCTTGTTACGTCCTTTCTTTTCTTTCTTTTCGGGCTTCGCTCTCATCCGGTTTCTTGCTCATCCCTCATCCCCCTTCACTCTTTTCTTCCCTGCTAATGGGAGCAGGGCCACCTGGGAACGTGCTTCCCGGTCTCACTTCAAGATCCGTTCGTGTGTGACAAAAAGCTAAAAGCACTCCCTGTTCTCCCTCTCTCGAGGGATTACAATCGGATTCCACTTTTAGCCTTTGAGAAGTTCATAATCGATCGCGACTGCAGGAGTGATAGGCGTCGAGGTTTCTTTCTTTCCGGAATGCATGCAAATTCAGAAGAAAAGAGCTCTAAAGGAAAACGGTTTTCTCTGTCGCTGGGAATTCCTCAATGGAAGTTTCATGAGCTTTTCCTCTGTATGATTAATTCTAAAAGTCATGTGTGTTTACAGTTTGAAATATACCCCCTTCTTTGCCGATGTTAAATACAGAGGCAGATGCAGAGCCAAATGAAGCACGGTGATGAAGCAGAGCGAACAGATCGGAGAAAATACTGAAAGCCACAAACCATCAAGGCGAACATTTAAAATAGGAAGTGAAGCACGGAAACGTCCTCCTTCCATTGTCAGAGGAAAAAGCAAAGCGAAAGGGAAAAAGATAAATTAGAATTAAAACATAGTAGTTTGATGAGGTTAACCAATTGAACTTTTTTAGGTTCGCTCTGGTTGAACAGGAAGCTTACTTGTTTCTTGTTGAGCGAGTCAACGAAAAACAAAACGACTCGCCCCATAATTCTTACAAATAACCCATCACCATGAGTCGTACATAACTGTAGGTAGTCTGAAGTAGGGTTGAAAATGCAAACTGGCGTCTTGCCTGCGCAAGATGGTGAGCCCAGTATTCAGTTAATGATGGCGACCTCGATTGAAGGCGCGGTAAAGGAATATCATGGTGTTATAGTGCAGTTTTTTTCTTGCAGAAGTTGCGAAATCTGTTGATCATCACGATGGTGTCTCATCACTGTGTATGATGAGACATTTTTGTCTCAGAGAAAAATATGCTTGAGTTGAAAATGTTTTGCGGCGGGGACATCTCTATGTTGAGGACAAACGCCGGTCTAGACAAGTTTCGTCATACGGACACGGGCGCGACGAAGGTGAACCATTCTTTTAAAAGAAGTGCGTCTCTGGATGCCATAGACACAGAAGTGATTAGCTGTAGGTCCGTGCAGACAATCCCGTTTGCTGTGTGTCATCTTGATTCGGAAGTGGATCAAGAGGAGCAAAAAAAAGGTGTTGGCATAGATCTTTGTCTCGCACATTTGCAGTGGTACCATGCTCAAATTAATTTATATATTCTTTCCACTCGCCGTTTGTTTAAAGGCAACACGTTTGGGAAATACTGTTATAACCATGACAGAAGAAGGAAGTTGAAAGAATCTACTTCAAAGGTGGGATGGAAACTGAATACCGTCTTATCTATCGCAGTAGGAGACCGGTACAGGGTTCAAACCCGAACTGCTTCCTTGTGATCCAGGGTATTCAGTCGATCGGGTAGGGTGAGACATCTACCGGAGGAAAGGAGAAGAGATGCGGAATGAACATGGCCGCACGCGAGAACATCGGCATATTGGATCGGTACGAACATTTGCTAGTGATGTGTTCGCTTCCACGTAGTCAAGGCATTTTTCTTGCGGATCTTGGTTGGGGCTATGGCAGGATATGGCACAGTGTATATTTATTTCTTAGTTCCGCCTCTCCTTTGGAAAAGAAGGCGGTCTCAGGGAGTGCGTGGCTGGTTCTATTGTTTTGGTCGAACGGACTCTTCCACTTGTCTGAATTGTAATGTCGCATTGAATAGATTTGACAGCCTTTTCTATTACAGCAAGTTTCCATCTTGTATTCCTGCCGTAGGCCTGGGCTAGTGCCAAGTCACCACCGTAAGTACTTTGTGAATTCCGAATGAACTTGCACCATTAAAATTACCCAAATTTCTAACGTTAATGGTGTATCCAAGTAAGTAATGGGATTTTCACTAATTAAATACCATTAAGGCCACATTGAATGTTGTACAATGTATTTGAAAGTCAATGAGGACAAGGCTTATCATAGGCCTACATCCAGTGATGAGCAAGTTACTGCCTGCTATTATTTTCATTTGAGTCAGCTGATGACTCAGACACCTGTGCATGGAATGCTCTTCCTAGCCAAGAGTCTGCTTACGTGGAAAATACAAAACCTACTTAGTTTTTGCAGATAGACCACTTTTCATTAAAGCCTTTTAATTGCCCTTCAAAAATCATTAGGATGATACCAGACAGTATCATGTTAATGTAGTAGTAGTAATAGATGTATTGCTAAGAATACCAAACAAATAAGAAAAATAGAAAGATAAAAAAAAAAGGAAAAAGCCAATGTGTCTGTCACGCCTTAATATAATTAGCCTGATGGTATTTAAAGTTAAGCCCAATATAGGTTTGCCTATCTATGAATCAGAATGATGTATTTATGCTCTGGTATTTCATGTCCACAACAGGATAGTTCTCGAAATTTCCTGTACTATTTAATGGTACAAAAGGATGTGATCTGTGTTGTCTGAAACTGGAACTTCATATTCCTGTGTAACTATTCCGCATTATCACCCACTATATATGAACTTTGCCTTTATAGTATTTGCATGCCATTGTAATTTTAAGAGTTTGGATTTGAGTATCCTTTGAAAAATAGGCATCATCACAGAACGGATGATATCAGTTTGCCAAGGAATTGATTAATTGCATCAGTCCTGAGTTGGGACACTTACACTGCAGCACGTGGCATTAATATTTGAATGAAGATGCCACGAGGGAAGAAGAGATCTGCATCCGATATCATGGATGGTCAGCGAGGGACAACAAAATCTCCACGTACCATTTCCCATATGCTGTGAGTGTACACTTTTTTTTACTTTATTCCACATGGAAACTGTTAAGAAAACATGGATCATTGTCACATGTTCTATTTCCAGCTCTTCACCGTCTTGCAGATTGGAGAGTCAAGGTTTCAGCCCAAAGAAATGCTTAAACTGGTTCAAGGAATACACCACTGCTGATGACCCCAATACTTTGGGTAAATGTCAACCCATACTTCTTGGTACTTTGCCACCCTTGGTAGAGATTTAATGATTTTACTTGATTAAATTGGCACTCAAGTGAAGGCACAGGTATGTGTTTTCATCTTTGAGGTGAAATTTTTAGATTAAATTTTCTAGCTATGGTAAGCGTCTTATTTTTCTTGATAATGGGACAACAGACTCCTTTAGTCATTAGGTTAGCCATCACATTTGCTTTGGAATATTTCAAACTTTACATCCCCCAGGCAGCCTTCTCCAATGTTGCTGAGTTTAGACTTAGTCTAATAGACTTTTAGCCAATGTCCCATTATCCCTGCTTTTTGGAAGTCATAAGGTATGCTTCCATGTGACTAACTTCTGCACAATGGACCATCACACTGTGAAGAGTGTAAAAAACCAATTGAATTGTCACTCACTTACTTTAGAGATAGACAAACCAATGTGTGTTTTTTCATGATGATTGTACCCACACTAAAGTAAAGCCCTAAAGTATACGTTTTTCACTGATTGAGGGAAACTTTATCTTTGTCAGATTTCATTTGGTCATTTTTATGGTAACTATAAAAGTGCAGCACATACATTGTTTTGATATCCAAGTGATGATATGTAACAGCTTGCTTTGCTACAGTGAAATTCAATCATCTTGTCACTTTGATGAGAAAGCTAAAAATAAGTGAGGCTTACTGATGTTTTCCATTTCCCTTCTACTTAATGTCATCAAAACAATACAGGAGTGCTTTATGGTATCTATGGGTTTCCAGCTGTTTCATGCTACAAAAGGGTTGTGTTAATGTTCTTGAGTTGATTGGTCTGGAGGATCGTTGGAGGTGAATATGGAGAGCTGAGCTCTGGTTTTACGTGCTGATAGTTAATTTGGATTTATAATGATTTTTCAAATGACACTCTGCAATTTGGTATAAAACTAGCTTGGAAATTTATGCATAAACTGTACTTTGGCATGGAGTGGAAAGAGGCATCTGCTTTGTGATGAATGTTAGTAATATTGAACTACATCATGATGCAAGCACCCAGTGTCCTTTTGCTCTCTAGATCCAGAGGGCATGGAGAGGTTATGTGAGGACATTGGTGTTGAGCCAGAGAATGTTGTGATGCTTGTGCTGGCCTGGAAGATGGGTGCAAGGCAAATGGGGTATTTCACACAGCAAGAGTGGTTATATGGGCTTTCGCAGCTACAGTAAGTGACATATCTTCTTTCATTTTTTGCAAAACCATATCTCCATGGCCTCTGAGAACCTCAAATTGACTGCTTTGGAGAAGCTTTGTGCATTGTCTAATTTTTTCTTAATGATGCTATGTTCTGCTTTTCATAGATGTGATAGTGCAGACAAGCTTCGAGGGAGGCTTGAATATTTACGTTCATTGCTCAATGATGCCATGTCTTTCAAAGCCATCTACCGATATGCGTTTGACTTTGCACGGGTGAGTCCTCCAGACTTGAAATATGTTCTAAACAATTTTAATTGCTTAGAAATCCTAATCAATTTTAATTGCTTAGAAATCCTAAACAATTTTAATTGCTTAGAAATCCTAAACCTGAAATATCTTGGCCTGATTTTTAAACCATAGGGTAGTGACTTCTGGAATAAGTATATTTACTTTAGGGATAAATATTATTCCAGTTTCAAAGTCATGTAAGGTACTTCAAAATTGAATGGCATAGATTCATGGCAACTTGACTCATGGAATGGAAGACTGGTTGAAGAATAATGCATGGTCATAATCTTTCATCTTAGGAAGGAAGAACATTTCAGTTACTCGCGTTTCTATTACCTCTTCAAAATGTATGCAGCTAAAAGTTAAATGCACTTAGCCTACTTGAGAAGTAGTTACTGCATGAATAAATTGTATCTGGTGAACCCAGATTTGTAACAGTAGACACATTCCTAGCACTTTTTTAAAATACTGGCCTTATAAGTTGCTCTATCTCTTGCAGGACAAGAATCAAAAGAGCTTAGACTTGGAGACTGGGAAGAGAATGCTGATGCTAGTTCTGGGCATGCGGTGGCACTTATACTCCAAGTTTCAGGCATTTCTAGACCAGTCCCGCTACAAGGTAGTGAATCGTGATCAGTGGAACAACATCCTGGAGTTTTCTCGTTCCATTTTGCCTGACCTCAGCAACTATGATGTTGATGGAGCCTGTAAGTCCAAATAAATTTTTTATGTGATTGGGTCTATAATATCTTGAGGTAATGTGAATATTGAATTTCAACTGTATTCTTAGGGCCTGTGATGCTGGATGAGTTTGCTGAGTGGATGCAGCAAAGTAACAACTTTGAGGGAAGATGAGGAAGGAAGCCAAAGAATGATCTTCCTATCTAAATGCCTGCCTTGTTTCTTCTTTTGAAATTTCCTCATCATCCTTGTTTCAAGCCAAGGCAGGTTTCGTTCCATTTTTGGTGCTGCTTCCAGTTTTCCTTCAATGGCATACACAGAGCATTGCCAAAAATGTATTAAATCAACAATGTGAGCCTTCCCTTTCTGTGATTCCCCCATTCACCCCTGAATGTGCAGTTCTGAGGATATGAACCATAAACTACAGTTTTTTTTTCTCTTCAATTGTGTTCCATCAGTTGAGAGCTCTGCTTATTTTGCCTGTTTGAGTAAAGATTGTAATATTGCCACAATATTGAGGATGGCTCTGCTTTCCTGGAGATGATTGCTGTTGAGAGAACCAGGAATCATGAGGGTAGCCCCCAACATCTCAAAATCTGAACTTCAGAGTTGAATGGTATGTGTGTGGGCAAATGTTTATATAATCATTTGCAGGTCATGCCATATCTGCAAATATAATTCCTGCTTGTATGGAGATTGAAGATTCCCATTTAGAAGATTTGAAGGAGCTTAAAAAGTTTTGATGTAGATGGAATGATGAGAAGTTATCTTGGGGGTGGATATGAGCTTCAAATTGCTGGAGACAACAGCCAATATGAACCAAATGCAATAAAAAATTGAAGTCATGTTGTCTTAAATCAGTCTCAGAACCAGGATGTACTTAATTTGATAGGCTTGAAACTTTTCCAATTGTCTTACATAGCTTTCCATGAAAATTGGGCTACCTGGAAGCATGGTTTGATATAGGTGTCTTGAGAATTACTGCTCTTTTTTCTATCTGCACCAAATTCTCCCTTTTGTAGAGATACAACAATGTTTTATTGATTATCAGTATCGGCTGTTATTGGGTGTGACCAATACAATGATACAATAGGATAACCTGCTGATTACTGATATTGGAAGGAAATCAGAAATGCCACTTGTTAAGCATGTATAGTGAGTGAATGATATTCACTTATCTTTCTCATATAAAGGTCAAACATGCCTGAATGGCATGTGCTTTTTATTATCAAAACAAGAAGGGATTATTAAAAGTTAAAGCTTTTAATTTTTCCTTTTGAGTGGAGCAGGAGGATAGCCCAATGCTCTTAGGCCCTATCCCTCACAAGCAGTTACTGTCTCCACATGCTGCTCCCCCATGTATGTGCAAAGGATTATAGTCTCTATTCTATGGCCAGACTTAATTCATTATGTCAACGCCCTCCTTCCTGGTGTTTCGCACGTCCCCCATGTTAACCCAATTCCTGTTAGTATATACCGTGTTGAACAGTAGTTGGGATAGCCTCCAATTCGAGCTTCCCTCCTTCGAGCTCGAGTATTCATTAAGCCTTTTTGTGAGGAGGGTCAAACCGGCGCTAAGTTAGCCCCTGCAAGCGACTCCCGAAGGCGAAGTTGCCCCGGACTGCTGGATGCTAAACCGAAAGGCCGGAGTCAGCAAAGAGACACCGTCTGCTTCTTATGTATCCATCGCTCTCCAGGGACATCAGCTCCTTTATCCCGCAACCGAAGTGAGAAATTATCAACAACGAAGTTACCACGCCTAAACTTTCTTACACGGCGCACGTCATTTCGTCGCGGACATCGCGACCTTCTCCAGCTCCAGGCCGACCGCGAAGTGGGCCGGAATCCTCCAGGAAGAGACACGTTGGGATGAAATTCGGAAGCAAGAAATCACGTAGAACAGAATACAGAACAGCAGGAAATTGCTTAGGAAGGAAAGCATGCGACAGATTGTCTACGGATACAACTCATTCTCGTACAAGAGAAAATGATAATGCTCCTCTGGTTAATCTTAAGTCCAACTTTCATGTAGGCTAGAATCACACGAAAAACATGCTGACTTGCACGTTGCACAGATATCGCACGTCCTCAAATCACGTATGCAAGGAATCACGGCAAAAGGAACACTTGCGAGGCCCCCAGCCTTAATGAATTTGATGCAGCAATGTCTACGCCACCCGTTCTAGTACACCACTAATGTTTACTTATTTGTATTTGTAACTGCAACTGATCCTTTTGGTAAGTAATTTCTACTTCACTATCCTTTTCTAGTATGTCAAAGCCACTTAGCCTTGGGACTCCTTCCGCCCCCCCCCCCTTTCTCTATCCTACTGGTCAAAGAATACGGAGTCCAAGTTCCACGCAGGAGCAGACGAAACGCCAGCGCTAGGGCTTCCTGGTTGGCCATGAACAGGGAGCTGTTGAGTTCGGGAGACAATGCTCCCATACTCAACAATGGATCGTGGAGGGCTGCCTCGCTTTTCCCTCTTTTAACTCGAAAACGTTTAGGTTTACTAGAAGTTCTGCCTAAACAATATTTATACAGTCCAGAGTCTGCCCTAACCAGGGCCGGCCTTAGGCATGTGCCACATGTGCTCCTGCACAGGGCGCAAAATTAACCCAGGGCACGGAAACGTAACTAAATATACGAAGTAATAATGGATGATGGATGCCACCCTCAGTTTTACTTCAGAAAGTGAACATGCCTTCCGTTTCGGCGTCAATTTGAACGCTAAGGATTGACTCATCTCCATTCTGGGGAGCTGGGGGAGGAGGGCGGGGGGGGGGGTTGCTTCGGGAGTCTCTTTGAGGGGGGGGGGGGGGGGGGGGGGGGGGGGGGGGGGGGGGGGGTTGCTTCGGGAGTCTCTTTGCACAGGGCGCCGAAATAGCTAGGGCCGGCCGTGGCCCTAACTAGTGGTAGGGATTGTTTCTTTTGTTGCTTTTTCACCATATTTAAGCGAGATAAACGTAAGCAAAGGATAATGCCTCGATTATGCAGCTCCCTTTACATCAGACTCTGTGCTCCAAAACTTGTCTGTAAAGGATGTTTCATGAGACGAGCCATTGTGGAGTTGCTTGAGAGTCGGAACGTTGCCTGACCACCCGGGAGAGGTGAGATCGAGGATTTTAGTCTAATACTCTTCCAAATATTTTGGAGAGTGTTAGACTAAAATGAAGAAGCAAAGCTTCAACATTTTTACCACCGGTTAGGGTGGAATTTAGACTACAAATCTTGTCAGAGAGTGATTTTTCGTCAAGCGTGTCATTGTCGAGATGTAGGGGGTAGAAGGACAGCGTCTGATGGAAAGGGAGCTGCATGATCAAGGCATTATCCTTTGCGTACCTTTATCGCGCTTAAATGTTGTGAAAAAGAAAATAAATAACCTACCACTGGTTAGGGCAGACTCTGGACTATAAGTATTGTTTAGGCAGAACTTTTTGTAAACCGAAACGTTTTCGAGTTAAAAGAGGGAGAATCGAGGCAGCCCTCCACATCCATTGTTGAGTATGGGAGCACGTGGCATTATTTCCCGAACTCAACGGCTCCCTGTCCACGACCAATCAGCGCGGGGCTGCGCACACTCCACTTGAAGAGCGTATTCCTTTTGTCTCAATCCTGTCTTGAGAAGCAGAAGATGACGAATCACAAATGAGGCTTTCGCTGCTCTTTGTGGGTTAAGATTGATCCTATCTGGGACGGGACTAACCATATATCATTAAATGACATTAAATAGAGCAGCTGAGGCCTATTAAAAGTTGAATACAAAGAAGGGAGGAAATCAAAGGTGAAAGCACTGTGCAACACTGAAAATGGCCGTTTCGCATGGCGGTTGGCGGTTGATGGGTTTTGATATGGCCTAAATAAGTGCTGTACTCCATGCTCTCTCTCTGTTTCAATGCGTTTAGGCCTAGGCTAGGCCTATACCTGCGAAATGCAGGTCCTGCTGTCTGTAGGGGTTGACTTCATACATTCATAGCCCGTTCAAGCCTACTTTGTGAACTTAAAATTCGAAAAAGTCGGATTCACCCATTTAGATCTAAGTTGCTCTATGAAGATCGTCACAGCAATAATGTACATACAGCTCAAAAAGGCGTCTTGCCTGGGAGTGGCAGTTATGGGGAGAACTGCAAGGATGAGATGAATCAGAGTTGAGTCCCTGAGGTAATTGATATTGAGAGTAGATGAAGGGACTCAATATCATACTAAAATAATCAGATATTTAATTTCATGGAAGATATGTGAACAGTTTTTTAAATTATTATTCTGGAACTATCACAATTTTCTAAAATCTCAAGCCCTTCTAGAAGGGCTTGTGTTATGTTGAGGGATCGAAAGGTTTGGTGTCTCTACCTATGGAAATATTGGTTGTTCTCAGATTTTACAGATGTGTATGCTTAATTTGAGTGTGCTTATATATACAAATAGGGAATTGTCAAAAGTTGGAGGTTCTCGAATAGTCACTTGTTATGAATTTCAGTTGGAATAAGCATATTCTGAATATGGTATTAAACCTTGATGTTTATGTACATTTACATAAAAATGTGTTTAGTGCAGGATTTGGTCATATTGTATACATGATTGACATAGCAACACTGTTTTGAGTACCAAATATGAATTTGTCAATTTTTTTGTCATCTTGAATATATCTTGTATAAGTGCATGAAGTAATTCAGAGAAGTCTGATCTCACCTGGACAATATATAAATATAGAACATTTCAAGTTTTCTGTATTCTATAAGAAGGAGTTGAAGCTTCTTGTCCATTGGGAATTGACCCAGGGAAAAAGAAGAAAAGTTTTATGCAGTATAAGCTGGATAGGAAGGGATGGACCCCCACGTTTAACACTTCCCCTTGTGGGAAGCATAAAAATGAGGACATTCATATAGGCCTTAGCCAAATCTAGAATTCAGCCCTATCCTGGAGGTATATATTTCTGACCTCTAGGATTTGGGTATTTGGTATAGTGTGCGTAGTTGTATCTTACGAAAAATTTAAGCTTAGGAAATATCCAGATTATATCCAGGGCAGCATGATTGTTAATCTCTTTAAACCCTTCTTGCTTATGAGAGAAATCATTGGCAGCCCAATGGCTTAGGACTAATTTTGGTATTGATACTGAACATTGTGGCTCTGACACCTCCCTGCACATTCGTTTTTTGTTGAAAAACTTTGCTGAAAAAATCTGCATTATTGTAGGATCTGTTGAAATAATTCTCCACAACCAGAGATTATTTGAAAAACGAAGAAAGTTATTGGTTAAAAAGAAATAATAAATTTGTTATTTATTGAACCCCCCTTGTATAGTGTAGCTTGCCCAATACCAATGTGACATTGGTGGTATGGATGCCTGTTTGATAAATCATAGGGCAGCCTTACTATTCTTTTGGTACTTCTTTCACTGTACTCTGAGATGGGGTGACTTTGAACTGTGGGAGGGGAGTGGAGGTCTTTACCTTTGCCCTCAAGCAGGATATTCATTGAGCTATGAGAAGGATAGGTTTCACTTTTTGCAACATTATTTACAAGTCAAAGTATGTTCCAAGTAGGGGCCTCAATGGTTAACCATATAATAAATTGAATTATCTTTATTGACCAGGTAATGCAAGGTTGTTTCTCTTAACTGGTATGATACACCCCTTCCTTCCTTGTATCCTCTTTTCCTTAAAAATGTTCCCCCTTGCTGGAACTATTATTGGAATCCTAGTTAACTTACAGCTAACAATGTCCATCAGTTACCTGTTTTAAAAAAAAGAAACAGGAATTGAGACCCTTAGCATCAAGTCACCCTACTGTATGGTCTGTGTGAATAACTTATGGTTTGCTTAGACCTAATGTGCAATAAATAATTATTTAGATTTGGCATCCTTTATAGTTTGATACCCAGTTCATCCACCCATAGGATTGAGCATGGGAGGCTGAAGTAACAATTGAAACTGAGTGTAGGGATGAGGAAGAAAGGAAGGAAGCCTCTTTGATTGTTTCAGTTGGCAGAGACCTCAAAATGGCAGTGAATGACCTCAACATTGTGATTGATCGATTGCAAGAGTTGTGTTTGAGAGACTTGGAGTCAGATTGGGTGGAAAATGTGGCTCAAAGCTGTTACACAGACATCCCTTCTCTCCCTGAAGTGTATGGATCTGATCACCCTCCAGAGGAATTTGTAAATGCTATCTCAGTGGCTTCAGAACACCTGAGAAAATATCTTCAAATATGCAGAAGAAACCGCAGAGACTCGTCTTCATCTTCATCTTCTATATCCCTTGGAGGGGATGATTGGAGTCAGTACCTATGGGAGGAATTGTCTCGGAGGGAGATTTCCTCTTATTCCCTGCTGGCTGTACTCAGCTTTTACATTAATACAGGGTTGGCTCTTGGTGCAGATCCTCAACAAAGACAGTGTGCATTCATTGCTGCTGACTTCTATTTCCTTTTGGCAGCTGTGACAGGGAGTATTGCATTTAATGTGTTTGACTTAACTCTGTACAATAAGACTTTAGAAACCTTCACTCTGATCACTCGGGTGAATGCAGTGGACAGAAGTCCTCGACCTCCTGCAAAGAAACGAGGAAGGAAGAAACAAACAGCAAGACTGGCTGAGGATGACTTTGAAATGGGGGTTGCAGATGTGGAATTGGAAGATGATGAAGAGCTTGGGTCACAGGAACCAGTTATGAGTCGACATGAAGTCATTTCCCTCATGAGGGAGACAACCTCCCTTCTTAGAGACTACCTCATTTTCTTGGACATGTTCCCAGTTGGGACTTGGGAAAACTCTATAGATTTGACTGTAAGAAGATTGGTGGACCTGACTCGGGTGGAGCAGATGACATCTGATCTATCTCAAGGCAGGAACAATGTGTGTTCCTCATCTGCTGTTGCCCACCATGCTTACCTTGCACTTCTGAGGCTTTGCCAAGAGAATTCCACTTTGGCATCTACCATCTGCTTGTGTGTGATGAAGAATCTGATGGCCAGCATCCTGATGAATTTTCCAGGTGCCTCTGACTATTCCTCCAAGGCTCTCAATGTAATTCGTGACCACACACTTGCTTTTGTTGCCAAAGTGATTGAAGTCCTTGGAGAGAAGAGTAATGAGAGTGTGCAGGCTCTCATGCTACAAATTGCTGTCAGAGTGCAGGATAAGGCTGAAAGCAGGATGAAGGGTGCACAGGCAGTGACTAGGATCTTGAATTGTGTTTCACCTACTGTCTATGCACAAATGTCTGAGCGATTTTCGAGCATGGCTGAAGCTGTTAAAGTTCAACATAGACTGATGGCTATAGAGATCATCAGCCAACTTCTGCATAGTGTTAGAGATACACAAAGCATGGACACAGATGAGCAATGTGAGCCACAATCCAGTGACAAACAAATTCCAACCCAAAAGACTTTGTTGAAGAACTTCTTATTGTTGATCTTGGCGGGATGCAGTGACATTGGTGCATCTGTCCGCGCCAAAGCGCTTGCAATTTTGGCTGATGTGATGACCAGTCAAAATCCTCTTATCCGTTCTGTGATCAAGTCTGTTTTCTTACCAAAGGAAACAGAATCTTTGGAAGACAACAGGAGGCAAACTGTAGGGCCTTCTTTGCCTTCTGGTCCTCAGGTTCTACACATGCTTCACATGAGAAGTGACGATGAAAAAGTGTTTGTGAGAAAATCATCTCTCCAGGTTCTTCAAAGTCTTCTAGTTTTGAGCAATGTCTTTGTTAAAGACGAAGTTCTAACTGTGAGTTTTGAGAATCATCAGTGAAACTTGAAAACTAAAGTATTTTTTAGATGTCTCTAAATGCCTCATTTTATCTATGCATGATTTGAACAGGTGCTACAGTATCACTGCCGAGACAGCACTCCACTGGTTAGAAAGCAAATGATTCAGTGTCTCAGTGATATTTTGAATGAATACCCGGAGAACTTACTAGTCGTGAAACATTGGGTCCTGGGCATTCTCCCCATGTCCATGGATCCTGAAGCTAAAGTACAAGAAAAGGTCCTTGAGGTAGCCTGAGAATTTCATGATCCCTAATACCAATACCTTGAATTTAGAGAACAGTTTGAAGTTAAATACATCCTTTGATTATCTTTGCTTTTTGCAGGCTATGGATGCTGTGATACTAAAGAACCTAGTTGCAATTGATAAGATGAGATCATCTCATCATCAGTTGCCCTGGGTGATCCTGAATGAAATAAGGAGAAGGCATTTTCAGAAGTATTTCAAACAAGTCTGCGAGGGATGGGCCAAGGCAAAGATGCTTACGTGAGTAAAACATTCTTGAAGGATCTTGATGATTTTTGAAGTATGATGGTTTTTTCAAATATCACCATCCCTGTCTAGGAATGCAAACTTCACTCCAGTGCTCAGCCATGTGAAAACGGTCCATCAAGAGTCAGCTTGGATGCTCATTGCTGCTTTCTCAGACCACCTAACCCACCTTCCAACATCTTTCATTCTCAGGAATTTTTACGCTTTCTTAGGAGTACAAGGAGCTGGAGATATTGATGTGAGAGCCCCCCTTTCAAGACCTAAGCTATGCACCACTTGCCAGTTTCTCTGATTATTTTTCTTGATTTTCACGTATTCCAATTTCAGCGCAATATGTCATTGGGTTGTGGGCAGTGCATCTTCTGGTCATTAAAGAACTGTGTACCCAGTCTTAATGAGAAAGAACGTGAAGAATTGAAGGAGGAGTTTCTTCGAAGCTTGGGTGACTTCAAGATCCATGCATCCCTCATCTGTACTGCAGCCAGTGTTCTGGATGCCATTCTGGATGCATCACTCAAGCAGGATGGAGGGACTGATGGAAGCCTAGTGCCAGAGCGCATCTCTGTCTACCAACCTATCATCTTTGTGTGTCCCATGTTTATATCTAGACCAAATGGACAAGGAACTGTTGTCATGCTTTCATTGGTTTAATTTTGTGCTCAGAAATGTGAAGCTGCCCTGAATACCAGTGTCTTGGTGACTGAGGGAGGACTGAAAGGAAACATAGATCTGATGAAGAAGCAATTGATTACGCTTGGCCACCTTGTTTGGTACTGTATACAGCTATTCAACATGAAGATTGCCTTGATCTTTGAAACATTGGGCTTTCAGCTCCATCAGTCAGGTCCGTTTCTTGACATTGTCATGCTTTGAGGACTAAAAGGGGATATTGAGTTCTCAGTTGATCCTGATGAGGAATTCAAAGATATTTTTGATAGAGAAAACCATTTCTACCATCTACTATGGCTGCTGATAATTTTGGACACAATCTTAGAGTAATTTGGAGGCTTGTAAATGCCAAAACTAGATTCTGCTCCTATTAATAATATACCTTTATATCTGGCATCTAATCTTGCTATGATTATTTCTACATTTTAATTTCAGAAGAACTTATGTGGTATTACTGTGTGGGCATGGATTATTTCAAAGCCTAAGGGAAGGAAACAATATCCAGAGGAGTATTACATGTTGATTGAGTATTCTAAAGGAAGAATCAATGAGATATTCTTGTTTTGGATTACCCAAGTCTTAATAAAGTTAACCTGCATAATCCTTTGGTGGAGAGTCTTTAGAGGAAGAAGAAAGCCAAAAAAAGTTTTTTATGGGAAAGGAAAGGACAATTAGAATATTTGGCAGTGGGACAGTTCCAATGGAGTTGGAGAGTGGCTACTACCTTTTCTTTGGTTGTTGGTTTCAATTATCAGCTTTGAGATGGCTTTTAAATAAGACTCCAAAGACCTGAAAAAAGTAACACAAGCTACAGGTTTTCTTAAGTATAGGCAGATGAGGGGGATAGAAACTGACTTTATTTTGAAAAAGAATGCAAAGTTTTGGTCAATGCTTTAAATAATACATTCTGCTGATATGCACTTGTGGATGTGGATTTTGTTGTTGCATTGAAGCAAGGGGGAACTGATGGGTTATGTGGCTGTTGGATTCCATGGATGTCTTTGTCTAAGAGAACATGAACCTATTTTTCCAGTTTAGAAGCAACTTTTTTCTTGGTAAATAACAGAGGTTATGCCAAGGACACTACCTGGAGGATGTCAGAATGGATATCTAAGAGTAGCGAAGGAGTAGCCCTTTGGGACAACAAAATATATGCAATTGGAGAAAACACCATATACCAGGTGGTAAAATGGACCATGGATTCCATAATGTATAGATTCATACATGAGCTTTCTTCTGATTGTTTTAGAGGTGTCAATACTAGGAGGGAGACCTTTCCACTAGAGGAAAGGATGTCAAACTGTTTAGCTGTAAGAACAGCAGTTTAAGGTTTACTTGTGGTTTTTAAAGTCATACCATGTGTCATTAGTTAAGCTGTTTGTCTTGTATGGGCATTGATGAAGGAAGCACAAACCTTATCAACTATGGATAGAAGGAAAATGAGGAATGAGGATTTAAGTCAATGGCTGGAGAGGTCTCCAGTTTTGGGAGTGAGAATGACTTCAGCAGACTCTCAGACAGATGGGAGGTTTTTAATTATTATACAACTTTCTGCCTGATTGTTCTTTTCATGATTGAGATTTTGAAGCTTTTCATTGCAGGTGGAGGTGGAATATCTTCTGATAAGCACAAATCCCTACAAGCGATTGCTCTCAGTCTATTGGGAAAGCTTAGTCTTCAGCATTATGATGTTGCCAAGAAGGTGATCCCTGCTTTTGGAAAACTTCTGGCATCAGACCCTGATCCAGCAGTGCGGATCAATGCCACTATTATTATCAGTGATCTCTATCAACGGTAATTTCCTCAGTTTTTTAGTCCGTAAAAAAATTATCATCACCTTTACTGACCTTTTTTTTGCTTTAGGTATGGGACAGAATTAGATCCTATCCTGCCTCGTGTGTTTACCTGCCTCAAAGATGATTCAGCAGCAGTGAGGAAAAACTGTCTGGTAGTCCTTCTCCAGCTCCTGCAGGAAGACTATCTTAAGATCAAGGCCAAGTATTTATATGTTCTCCTCACATGCTTGCTGGATGAGAGCTCTGAGATACGCCACCTGATCCGCTTTTTTCTGGAGCACCGCATGAAGCGGAAAAAGGAAACTATTTTCTATCAACATTTTGTTGAGTCTCTTTTCTACTACAACAAATATGAAGGAAACAAGAAGTACAATAAGTTCAAACAAAACAAAGAGGAGCAGCAGTTCTTCACATTGCCTGGTTCACAGAATCGAAAAAAGAGACGTCATCTCTATAGCTTCATGCTCCAAAGGCTTAATGATCAACAACGACTCCAGACCACCTGCAGCCTTAGCAAGGATGTATTAGGTTAGTCATTACAGTCACCTCATATTAATCCTATCTTAGGTTAGTAAGGATTTACTATTGGCTGATGCGTGTGACATGACCAACCATCTGCTGATTGGCCAAATACTGCCATCAGTACATCCCAAAATAAATTGAAATAAAAATTTATTTACATGTGTATCCCTTGCAACAAGAAGTACATAGGGAGTTGTAGTTCAGGGGGAGAAAAAGGATTGGGAAAAGGGTGGGATTCATTTTGATGGTCAAATTACCTGATCCCCATCTGGATTATAGATTGACAAGGGTTTCCTGAATATTTGGTGAGCTTGGGTGAGCTTATTGTATTTTTGCAGACAGAGTGGTTCCCCCATGGAATGAGTGGGTTTGTTTTGGGGATAGCTCTTGAAGATTTTAAATGCTATGGTGCTATACCTTCCCCAGACTTCCTGCTGATGAATTATTTTATATGTAGTAGTAGAATTCACATTTAAAGAAGTAACTTTGATGTGTGACCAGTGTTTCAACTTTATGTTTTTGATGAAGTGCTGTAAAGAACTGTCCTGAGCAAAAATTTATCATAGATGGATTTGCAACGGGAGATATTCCAATTGAGGGAGAAGCAGAGAAAGCAATATTGAGTGATGCATTATGGATATTGACTTCTGAAGACATCAAACTCTCAATGCTAAGAGGAAAACCTGAAGAAGAGCCAGTGGATGGAGACAACGTGGTGGACGTCATCAAGGCATCTGCAGGGAAAACCATCATGTCTCATGCAAGCATCTGGCTCAGTCTTCCACGTTGTTGATTGAAACAAGACACAAATCCTCAACTCTTTTTATCATTGCCTTTGCAGTATGTGAAGCGTAATGCCATTGAAAACATCATTCCTGTTGTGGTGAAGCTGAAGCGTAAGCTGGAGGAAAGAAAGAGTCCCGTTCTTTATGAGCTTATGGTCTTCCTTCGGGAGCTCACTAAGGAGTACAAGAATGAGGTTGTTATCTGCTATTAAAGTTTTTGTTATCTCTTAAATATGAAGGTTATTTGAAAATGAATCTCCATTGTTCCTTTAGGTGAAGGACATTCTGTCAACTGATCCTCAGTTGGCAGAGGAGATCCAGTATGATCTGAAGGAGTTGGAGAAGAAAGAGAAGGCAAGGCAGGAGAGGGAAGACAATGCCAGCGAACAGGGTTCTATTGCATCTGATGATGCTGCATCTCTGCATGACATTGAGGACAGGGTCCAGGTTAGTTTGAGTGTTTTGCAGATGAAAATGTATTTTATGCAAAACCATGAAAACCAACTCTGATGCTGTTCTTTAGTGCCCAAGACTGAGTGGTATCATGCACATCAGAGAGCACCTCTCTCCTGACAGTTCCCGACGATGGTCCTTACAGAGATTTGCTGTTGAGGTAAAGTTCTACTCTACATTTGTTGAAGGTCATTTCATGTATGTATTTTGAGGGATTCTTTTTCCCTCAGAATTCTTTGCGGCAATTTACCAAAGATCAGGATGCAGGGATCAACAAGCTACTGGTGAATGTTCCCAGTGAAACCACAAGTCAAGCCGAACAGCCAGAACATGATCACAGGTAAATTCATCATTCATCACTACTATATATACACTATGATGGGCTAAAATATTCCATGTCAAGTGACTCTATGAATTGTTTTTTCTCCTCACACTCTCTGCGTATTTGTAGAAGTCATGAAGAGAATTCAAGCCTTCCAGACACACCTGAAAGTACAGGCTCAGAGTTGCCATTGAGGGAGGTGCGAGTGGTACTGACACGTGTGAATGTGCCAGGAGATCAGCCTGACCCAAGAGTTTCAGGAAATCAGCTTGACCATCCAGGGTCACCAGATCTTGACCCTTTGCCTCAGGATCTTCCAAAAACAGCTCAAGCTGAAGTCGTGGTTGATGAGGAAATGGACATTCCTCTGGAACCTATGCCAGAACCAGTCTCACATGGAGTGATTGAAACTGAATCTGAGTCCTCTGAAGTAAGTTTGAATAACATGATCATTGAAATTAATTATTGCATTTACAATAATTTATTCAAGGTATGTTTCTCTTGTTTCAAGGTGGAAGAAGAGTATCTGGGCTGTGAAATTGAAACAGCCCAGCCTGCAACTGATGGAATAAACTCAGGTATGGGCATTGCTGATTGTGGGGCAAATACAGCTTTTGGAAATGTAATGAATCCTTACATCCTGATAGAGAGGCTTGCCTTGCCATTAGAAGTGAGCAAGACCAATGTACAATCCCAATCTGAAGACTTGAACCCTTCTGCAATGCCAGCAGGAATCCCTTGTCAGGAATTCCAGTCTAAACTTCAGAGGATTTCTGCAGATGTGAGTTTAGATTTATTGCAAATAACTTAATTCTCTCATAGCATATTTCCAATTTGCAAATTGGGATGCTTAGCATGCATCAACTTTATACATGCATCCCAATAAACCTTCATGGATCAAACACTATAAGAACTTGAGGAAATTGTCTCCAGAGACTTCATCTTGGCACTGCCTTGCATTTAGACTCTCAATTACAGTTCTTTAGTATGGTGACCTGAGGGAAAGAGAAAAGGAGTCTGGCTTCATCAATAGCACCACCCTCTTCCCCTATTCCTGAGGCATTTGACAAGTTTTCACAGCATTACCTCATTCCATGACCTTGAAACTGCTAGATTTTTCATGAACCACATGTCGTCAATTAAGTCTTTCTAGGTGACTGTTTTGGACAATTATTATGACCCCATTGCTGCAATTGAAATTGGAGTGTTTGGCAAGTTTTCTCCATGAATATTCATCCTACAAACTTGAAATTATTAAATTTTTCATGGGACACTATTATGAGCTTGCTTTCATCAAGATCTCTCAACTACTTCTTGGTCGTGCTTTTTTATTTGGTGATGAGTGTATAATAGCAGCCTTATTTGCCAACCCAAGGTAACCACCCATAAAACAAATAGCTCTTCTTCAAACCACTCCCACAGACTTCCTCTGCCAACACATAAAAGAGGGAATAATCAAACTTTGGTAGCTCTGACGAGGTGGTAGCCTCATTGCACTTCATGGTTTCAGAGCAGTGAGAAAGAGATTATGAATATATTTGCTATATATATATTTGCTGATGCAAGGCATGTCAGCCATTGAGAGGTACATCTGGCAGGCTTTATTTTCCCAAAATTCCTTGACAATAGCCAGATTCAGCAAATCATGGTTTGATGTCTGGCATCTGATTTCCAGCTGGAAGATGAAGCAGTTCTGGGCCATGAAGTTGGTGGCATTAGATCTGCAACAGCAGGGGTGAACACGAAGAGAGAAAACACCAATCATGATGCAAATATAGCAGAAGTCAGGAATCCCTGTGTCATTCTAGACAGAGTGAACTCACAAGTAGAAATGGATGAGACTGACCAGACTGCAGCTGTTCACCCTGCTTCTAGGTAAATCTCCAATGTTTTATCTAATTTTCTGTAGGCATAACTTCATATCTACAAAGAGACATTGCTTTTTTTTTTTTTTTGACCAGACGAGGACCCAGTACACCTGCCAGAAGGAGACGCCTTCGCCATCTAATGTCCCCTAAATACAGTGAGGAACATGAAGCAATGTGATGTACAGTATATGGTGGGCAAAAAAAGCCTGGAACACTTTCAGCAATGTCTTAAGACTGGTTTCTGCACCATAGCAGAAATATGAACCATTCTTTACAGAAACAAGTTTGCTTCACATCATGAAGTTAACTCAATTCAAAGACATCATCCAGCAATACTCACATGAAATTTCAATGGAATTCCTCATAGAAATTGCTTTGGCCTAGACTCACATTTGTTAATTGGCTATTTTTTGCCTACTCTTTTTGTCCATCATCATCTTTTTTCAATAATCATTTGAACAATAACCTTGATTTCATTGAGAAATCATGCTTTCTGTTTCCTGAAATTTCTTCATACAATAGTAACTGGGAGAATTCTTGGGGAAATACTGTATTGTCTGTACCTGACTGCAGGCCAAAAATTACTTTTAGCTTAAAATGCAAAGAAACTACTACATATACATATTAAGCATATTTTGTGAGTTTGTTCACATTTGAAATTAGTCCTTTTTTATCAGGAATGCTCAAAAGAATTGAAGGAAACATCATTGCTTTGACAGAGAGGAAAGAGAACAAGAGAGCTCTTCCCAAAGCTGGTGCACCACACCCAACCCAGATCCCCACACCCCACTGCAGTGACCAGGTATTGGCATTTCTTGGGACTTGAATTCTATCATGAATGTTTGAAACACCCAAAGAGAGAAAGATATTTCCTCATCTCTTGACCTTGAGATTTTGACGGAGAGGAATCGCCTCTGAAAATTATTATTTCATCGTGCAAGTTTTTTCAAGCAGCTAAGTCATTTTTTTTTTAACTTTCTGTAAAGTTCCCAAACACTGTGGTATTTCATTTCTTCACATTGTTCCTATCAAAAGCTGAGCATTTTGGTCAAGTTGATTGATCAGATTGACCAACTTCTAGGCTTCAGAGCAATGAAGGCATAAATATATATTTGTTGTTGCAAGAACCTTTGAAACATGGTGACCATATTTGCCATCTTTTATAATAATTTAATCAATTAATTTTTTTTTAGGGTAACCCCAACATAACTGTAATTACTATATACAGCAAAATCATTATTTATTCCATTTTATTCTCCAGGTGGAAAATGAAGAGTTTCTGGGGTGTGAAATAGAAGATGTCAGATCTGCTTCAGATGGAATGAACTCAAGAAGAGGAAATATTGACCCTGAGACACAAGTGGGAGCTCGAGATTCAAGGAGTCCCTATGTCTTGCTAGAGAGAATTAACCCTCAAGTAGAAAGGGATGGGACAGCAGAGATCAGCATCCAGTCTCCATCTGGCTTCATGTCAGAGACTCCATCAGTCAGACAAACTCGGAGGTAAACTTTCAAAATGTTCGCTCAAATTTTTTTGTTGCTTCATACAGTATAGTCATAGCATTTTTCCTTTGATTCCAGACAAGCAACTAGTACTCCTGCCACAAGAAGAAGCTTACGCAAGAATGACTCCTTCCGCCATTTGATGTCCCCTATATACAGTGAGGAAGATGAAACTAAATGATCTGTAGTCATCCCTCATTGTCTGAGGACTTGGGTTGTTGTCAATTTCCTATGACCTTGATCTCAGTTATGACTGAAATTATCTGCTGCTGGGAAAAACGCTTACTTTTCAGGGGTGGTGGGAGAAATCTGAGTGAATCCTGTATATACCTGCTGTATACTTGTATTTGATTAAAATACAAGAAAATGATGCAATGTGCATGTGCATATGAAATACATTTTGATTTTTTGTTTAGAGTTCAATGATTGCTTTTCCAAATAATGCATGCACAAAGTCAAAAGAAACAAGGTTCATTGCTTTTGCTGACAGAGCGGGAAAAGAACAAGAGAGTTCTTGGCAGAGCTGATGCGCCACCACCGCCCAAGTCGATGCTCTTGCCCCACAGCAGCAACCAGGTACTTGGCATCTTTTGTGAATTGAATCCCATTCACAAAGCCCTTGATGGGTATGTCAAACAGGAGATTGAGAGAGTGGAACTTTTCATCACAACCCCATACTTTGATCTTGCCATCATGCGATCCTGCTGGAGAGGCAATGCTCTGATTATTTCTTGATAGAGAAAGGCACTTCATATTTTAAGTTTTTCAACATTTGAAAATCTCCAAGAATGTGCACAAAGATCAATGAGTTATACATAGGACTCATTCATGTGTTGCAAAGAAAACATCCTATACCTTGTGAAATGCATTCCCATTATAAACAGCAAAGAATGAAAGCAGGGATGGAAGAAATTCCTTTTCATATCTACTTGCCCACTTTATTGTCAACCAGTCTTGAACATAGTTGGGTAGTTTTTAAAATGTGAAGTACTTGAAATCCAAAGATCCTCTTTTGCATGCTAGTGTCTGAAACATTACAAGGTGATGTGGTGCTTGCCCACATAGTATGAGTTTTGATAGCATTATATCTATCCTTTGCTGAGTAGGTCAACACCCGAACATTATTAGTGCTCATTGTGATTAGTTTTGTGTTGTGTGTGGTAATCATCCTAATAGTTCTGAAAACCAACATTAGCACCTGAAAAGCACAGTAGGCAAATGCTTGGAGATAGTACTCTTCACTCAAACTCACCAGAAGCAATGATGTCTGTATTATGCAGAGTCCCAATGGCAGAAATCCAACAAGGCTCCCCATTACTGGATTGGACTCCATGAGCCCCTTGTTCCACATGGACTGGCTTCTTTTTATGGACGCCCCACAAAGCCAAGGACCTAAAAAAAAAAATGCCTTTAATTATTGTGAAACAGGATTGAAAGAATCAAATTAAGGAGCAAATTCAGAGCAAGGTACAGTACCCATCCTCGCCACAAGAGATGAAATGGTGGTCATCAATAAACCTCACAGAGTCAGTGCTGCCCTGATGAGCATTGAAGATGAGGTGAGACTCCTCAACGATCTTCCATAACCTCACACTAGCGTCCCGACCTCCAGCTGTGACAGCCCTATCTCTTGTCACAGTGTCAATGGCCATCACTGCATCCTGGTGCCCAAATCTGACCCAAATTTTCTCATCTCAATTCTCAACCTTGCATATGTACATAATTAGCCATACATGAAGGAAGAGGCTTACAGAGATTCAACATAGGTCATCTCTTTGATGTTCCAGACCTTGATGCTACGGTCTGCAGATGCTGAGTAGAGGTCATGAGATCCCTTTGGAAATGCTAGACCATAAACAGGTCCTCTATGTCCAGTGAATGTGTGAATATGGGACAGGGACTCTGGATCCCAGATTTTTATCAGCTTGTCAAGACCACTTGATGCCTTATAAAACAAATAAGAAATGTTTACAATTGTTAGATATACATATAAGATGGACTTAAACATTACTTCTCAATTAAATATTACCAGAAACTTATTGTCATCTGATATGGCTAAACACATGATGGAAGCAGAGTGTCCCTCTCCAGCTTTTCCCTGCTTCCTTCCTCCTATGGTCTTTTCTCTCTTTCCAGATTCCAGACACCCTGGGAAAAGTCAAATGTAAATTTAGTTAATTCTGAGCTGAAAGTGAACCAAAAGTCACTGGGGTAGAGCCCTGACACTTTTTTGAAGCTGGGTCTTGAGAGGACAGAAAACTGCACTATATATTAAATTGATCATAAATGAAAAATACAGTGGTACCTCGCATAACGAACGCAATTCGTTCCAGCGGTGCGTTTGTTATGCGAAACATGATTTCCCATAGACGTCTATGGGAAATCATGTAATCTGTTCCACGTTGCCGCGAAAAATCAAGGAAATTAGGAAAAAATGTTTCACTTTCACTCGCGAACACCTCGCATAACGAACGCACCGCTGGAACAAATTGCGTTCGTTATGCGAGGTACCACTGTATATGTATGCTATTCAACAGTTCCCCTCTCAGAAACATGTAGTAAAATAGCAAAGCACACAGTATAGGTTAACATGCATACCAACTAAGTATATACCAATGAAAATTCAAGAGGTTGATTTTGTTCCCATAAAACTCCATCTTGACTCATGAAGTTACATCAATTGAATTGATCAGGTACATACCACCCTAACTTGAACTGCACTCAAGAAAAAATAAAAATAAACTTTTTTCAATTTCTTCCTTTACAGAAAACTACACAAAAATCCATCCACATCCCACCACCTCCCATTTCCATTAACAAACTTTGGTACTTATCTTTTGCTGTTTTAAGCACTAGTTGAAAATACTCATAGCAGGAGATTAGGACTTCTACCTTGTACTCACATTTGACAATCACATGGTCTTTGGAAGCTGTGTAAATGAATTTGTCATCACTTGAGATCACAAGGCAAGTGAGGGGCAACTTCTGCTCTTTACAACGCAGTGTGCGTATGGCATTCTCATCAACCCCAAGGAAAGTGCTTGCTATCTTCTTTCTCAATTTCCCAGCCTGCTCCAAGGCCTCATCTCTCAAGCGACTGGAAATGGCATCTTCCTGCAATTCTTGTGCCTCCAATCGCTCTTTTTCTGAAAGAGATGATTCATTCACTCAGCTCATTCTCTATCCTTCTTTCATCTGAGGTTTGATCAAAATCCATTCCCAAACATGTAAGCAGTAGATGATGAACCTCTCCAAAAATCTTTTTCTTTATGAGAATATACACACTCCAGATTGGTTTTAGCAATAAAATGCCATCAAATCACAAACAATTTGATGTCAGTTCCAAGCCAAGGGTTCTTCTCTCAAGTTCACAAAATGAGAAATATAGCCTTTACTGCTCAGATATGCCTAAGTGCTTCTCATCAATTGCAGAAGAGCAATATGGATCTCATGAAGGATGAGATCCATGTATGTCTATGCAGCTGAAAAAGAAATGATGGAAAACCATTCTCAAGTGATAGGGCCAAATTTTATATTTAGCTGGGTGAGGTAACCACCAGTAAAATTGCCCTTATGTCTCACAAGATAATAGGTATGGAATGAAAACAATGATATAATTCAATTCTGCAGACTTCTGATAGCCTGATAAAATCAGAGTTTATCAATTTCTTGGAATTCCGGATTAGACTTTAAAGAATTAATTCAACTGACCTCTGGCCAAAAATTTTCAAAAGGAAAGGATTTTATCCTTTGATTCCAGCTGATTAAGATGTTTTCCTTGTAATAGTACTTTACAAGTTGCCAAAGACTAGCAAATTTCAAAACCACCTACATTACCAGCAGGTCTACTGGCCTGGCCAAATTCTTCCTGCCACTCCCCACCTTATCAAGGCAGTGAAGAAGAAGCAGCAGAACAAGCTATGTGCACATGCATTGATGATCACCTGTATGGCCTCCCATCTGGATTGACATGATAGAAAATTTGAATCACTTAATAATATTATAAATCTGCATGTTTACCAAGTCTTTGAACCAAGAGTCCCGAGCAGACTCGAGACCAATAACTTGGTGCTGAAGGTTCCCAGCATGTTCCCAGCATCCTGGAGGAAAAGTGTTTTACTTAGAGGAATATCATTTAGGCTTGAAAATCTTACACAGATATTCTTATTTTCAGTCTTTGGTGACACCTTCATGGAAAGTAAGCTCTGCTTTTCCAAGCCAATCTCATTGGTTTAAGATTAAGATTGGTCTTTGTGAGAAGAGGAACTCATTACTGCAAGGTCTACAAGCAACAAGAATCTCCACATCAACAAAATTAAATTCATTCGCAACTCTACTCCTAGGGTTAACATTATTCTACTAAATAGGGTACTTGAGTTTTTCCAGCAAAATATATATTAGTGAAACCATCATTAGTACACTCAAAATCAGAAACAGTTAACTCTCATGTAGGCTAGGCCTAGACATACCTTCTCTTTCAATTTCCTCCAAGTAAACCTTGGCGAGTCGAAGTCTTTTCTCCTGAGGAGTCTCAATGTCTGAGTCTTCTTCGTCATCCGCATCTTTTGCACCTGGCTTGCCTTCAATTTCATCTAAGTCGGAGTCACTCTGTATCTCCTCATCCAACTCCTTCCTTGGTTGCTTCTGCTTCTTCACTTCCTGCACATATGTGAAATATATATCCCTAGGTCAGGAATTAACCTAGTCCTCGTTCAGTTGCAACTCAAACAGCAGAGGCCTTTACCGGACTCACGCCTACATAAGCCTTTCCTACTTACGGTGACGGTGAAAGAGGGCTGCTTGCCTCGTTTCCGGCCAAGTCTCAGTGCAGCTCTGGGGCGTTTTGTTTTCTTCACAGAGGGCATTCTGCTTTGGAGAGTAGCCTACCAGTTAAACCAAAGCCAAATGTAATCCACGTATCGGGAGCAATGAAACATGTGCCTCTAGTAGGGGGCCATATTGAAACTTAGAACTGTGACTGCGCAATGGGAATATTCGCGCGGGATCCCCTTTCTTCCCGCGGTTCGAAGGCCCTGACGACTCTGTTGTCCCGCGGAGTCCCGCGCCCCTTGCCATGCCAGACCCGCACGAGGGAATCGACGCGCGGGTCAGTCGAACCTGCAGTCAGTTAAGCAGAAACTCAGAGAGCGGATGAACAAAGGCGTTTCAGCGATGTCTCCAGGAATATCCATCGATGCGAGAAATGAATGTGGAGCTCCACGAAGCGTGAGTCAATTTTCCTTCCAGGGATGTGGAGAGAAAGTCCCGTTAATGCCCGTGAAATAGCGGCCGCATTTTCCTCAAAAAGCTCCGAGGATATTACAGGCCCAACATCATTCTCTCCTGATAGCCGATATTCTATAAATATCTCTTTGGAACAACATCGTAAATTTTTTAATGGGCTTTTCGTCCTCACGGGCGATGGCCAAGATGAACGCACTGCTGTACATCCGGGGTGAAAGGGCTCTCACGTTCGATTGCGGTAGAGTCACTTCGTTTCCTCACGAGAGGCAGAGGCAGGCGATTCACGATTTCCTTCGCGACACCTGCAGGATTTTTGCGGGTTCCACGTGCAGGTGGATTCTCTGCTGGTCTAATGTTTACCAACGGTTCTGTTTGATTTCCTTGCATGTTTTGGCATGATTGAAATTTGAAGATTCGAAATTGAATTGGGAATTTGAGTTCAGAATTGATTCCTTTCAAAGAATCCAGGTCTCATTGCGCTGCAATCAATGACATCAAAGAACCCCAAAATCCCTGAACAGATTCTATTTTAAGTCTGCCCATCGATGAACCTCGACAAGAAGACAAGGACGTTGAAAGGAGAGAGAGAGAAAAAAAAAGGCCTGATGAGCTGTGGGGAGATAATGAAGGATCATTGGAATTCCCCGGGGGAGAGGAAGACAATGAAGGACGGAATATTATCTTTTCCCATGCATTCACCTGTGTGAATTCACAGCACGATTCACGTCTTTTCTAATGATGTGCATGACGTGGTCATGTTTAGCCGATGTCTTCATATTCTTTTGTGCGTTTCCGACCCGCACTCCCCAACCACAAATTATAACCCCCCATCCTCGTCATTATTCAAATCACGACCCCGTCCGGGCATAATCACAGCTTCTTCTCCTGTCTCCCCATCCCCCCGTGCAGTCATTACATGCATCGGCGGTGATCGAAGAGGATCCTGTTGACAGAAGAGAACGGCGAGCGAGCATCCACAGGGTCGCGTTTCACCGTCCGTCGCGGAATGAGGGCCAATTTCGCTTCTCTTCCTCGCATTCCTTTCCTCTTGTCCCCAAGTGATGCCAATTCCCTCGTCAGCATCGCCTCCACAGGTGCACACACAGATCCCTCGTTACAGGGGTGAAAAGGAAAAATAACCGACATCTGACCCTGTTTTTTTTTTTTTTCCTTTCTCTCTCTTTCATTCCGTCACTTCGGCAAGGGACAAAGAAGAGACTCGAGTCAATTGGTCAGTCACGGCACTCGCTTTTTTTTTTTTATTCGGGGCGAGAGCATGGGCCTATACCATTGTGTATTTTTACCTAACACTCTAATTGAACTTCTTTTCTCTCCTCCGCTTTCTCAAGGCAAACACGAACACCTTGTTTCCATGCACCTCCGAGAAAAAGAGGAAGAGCATCGCATCTCACCACAAGCCATGGTCATCAAGAATGAAATTTATATTGAACGGAATAGATATGATCACGGGAGCGTGTCTCCTGGTCGAGAGGGGATGAAGGCTAGTTTCACGGGTCTTCAGACAGGTTTCGTGCCCACAAGCTGACACTTTCTGTCAACCCTTTCTCGGCATACTATGATAACCAGAATCCTTCCTGTGTGTCCCTGCATCTTCTCTCCCTGTGTTCCAGGTCAGCCTCGTACTTTTTCGCTCGAAGATAATTGCGGAGTATTTCCATTCATGAGCGCTGCAGTTGGCGACGGTGCATCCAAATTCGCGAAGAGAAATATGGATGAGATTATCCGTAAATGTGGTGCACCGGAACCAGCTTCGAGTCGAATGCGTTTCCCTACGAGGACTATTCGATGGGAAATCGGCATTATTTGAATGGAGAACTGATTTAATATCTCGTCATTCGATTCGCATCGTGGCGACTTTTCCATTGCGATTCTGCGGTTTGCCGAGTCGCATACAGCTATTGTCCTTTCGGTGAAGCCGAGGAGAAAACGGCGCAAGGAGACCGAAGGTGGCGGTGATCGGTGACGTCCGTGTCATCTTCTCAAACAAAAAATAAAAGGGCTGAGATAATCCTGAGTGAAGGAAAACAAGAAGGCCATAATAGGCCTTCTTGAGTCGGTTTGACAGCAACGGCACAAAACAAAGTTTTGTTGAAGAGCAAATACCCAGGGAGCCCTGGTAAGATCAACGCCTTTTCGGTTTCTTTCTCTTCCTTTCCACGTGCAGAATTTAATATAAGCCGCCATATTCGTTATGGCCGCCTCCTCTATCGGTGCGCATATGCAGGAAAAGCGTCGACTTCTTTTGGAATAAAAAAATGCAATCTTATGCCTTCTTGTGAAGATCATCGGAGAAGTTGAAAAAGTGTCAAATAAGTTTTTGGCCTGGTTTCTGGGATTCTTTCGACTCCGAGAAGCACACATGCAAATGGCGGTGGGTTGAATTGGCTGCATCACTTCGAATGGTTTCTACGGATTCATTGCTAACAATTAGTCCGATATTCCTTGGTATGTCTATATTATTAACACATCGACTGCCGTGAGGATCACAGGTGATACTTAATGCCATTTGGATTTTGATGCATGGCAGCCAACGTATTAAAACTGGATTTTATGCATCTGTCAATAAATATTATGTCATGCATCAAAACCCAAGCAACCAAAAATCTGGACACGAAATGTAAGAGGACAATGTACCTACTCACCCACACCATCCCTACGGATGAGTTGATCCATCTTTATGAGTCACCCTGGGTATCAAAACCTTCGACATTATAGTCTTAGGCAGTCACAGAACTGTCGGTGAAGAAAACTCGTTTGTCGAGAAGAAACGTGTGACGCCTGCTCGATTCCAATTAAGAAAATTAGTACATAATGTTTTGCCTCTTGGAGCTCGATATGCCTCCTGAGTGCATCCAACCTCGATGGCATTATATATATAGTGAAAAGGAAATACCAAAGGTGCCTGTCCCACCCAAACCAATCTAGGCAATGGGGGGAATCCATCCCACTACAATTAAAAATTCCTTAGATACGAAGCATCCTGTTCTATGCCCATTGCATGGGCTGGTGTACGCAGATGAGTCCACTTCGTACTTAAATAATAATAAAACCCCGACAACCTGGATGAGTTAATTCTTCGGATAGAATCGAAAGCCATGGGAAAGAGCCCAATCACTGGTATACTATTCCTGCACATAATAATATATATATATATATATATATATATATATATATTTCCATGACCGTCCTATTTCCTATTTCCATGACCTATTTCCTATTTCCGTCCTATTTCCTATTTCCAGCTCCTATTTCCATGACCGTCTGCGTCAGTTGATCGGCCCACCGTTTGCTAATCCTCTCCTAATGGAGGGAGGACCTTGCTTAGGATCCTCACCTTGCTTAGATTCCAAGGATATGTCGATTCCACATTGAACGGGTGGCCGCCGTTAGGAGTGTGGAACTCCATGCAGTCATCGCAGAGTCCAACTGCTAAACGTCGTCGCTTTGACCTCATACGCTCGAGCGTGTCATTGCCTATGCATTCGATACAGATAGAGACCGATGATGAGCCTCCTGTCATCCGTTTTTAGTTATTTAGGATGGGAAAGTACGAACCAGAACTTTATTCCCTCGCGAGAGACATCTAGTCCGGGCCGAGTGAAGTTCTCGACTGGTCTCGGCCTGTAACTGGAATTCAGCCGTTGTCTCTATCCACCGCTTATTTTTATTTATTAATTTTTAATGCTATTTTCTCCACAGGTCCCTCAAACTTTCCCGGTCCCCCAGTCCAACAGTACCGTACGTTCAGTATTTGACCAAGAAAATAGAGTATTTCTCACCCCTTTTGTGATGCAATCGCTATTTAGTACTGGTCTCTGCAGGTGCAATATTGTTCCCCATCACGCAGCCTTGGCGTCCCCTTGTTTGTACATCATCCGGCTCTTGGATGGTTATAATCAGGAGACTCTTCTAGTGGAGAGGAGGGAGAGATATTTATGTGCCAGTGTATACCTCGAACAATTAAGTTCTATGGGAGAATGGCCCAAGAGCGGTTTCCGAGGGGAAAAAAAAAAACGGGACTCGAGCTTCACGAGTACCGTAATGACGACCGTCGAACGTTGGCATGATTCACAGCACATAGCAGGCGTCAAATTAAGAAATTTGACTCCAAAAGCACCTAGTAACAGTAAAAACCTAGGTTCACAGCCGAACTTGTTAAATGAGCTAAAACAGAATAAGTTAATCGTGCACGGCTTGTCCTACACGACTCTTTGCCTACAACCTAGAAAAGCCTTGACAAAAATGGGGCTGGAGTTGAGGTGACGTGGAAAACTTCCTCCATCGAAAGCTGCGGGTGGCTTTAGTGGGGAGAAGGCGAACGCTTATGAATGTCTCGGCTCAGCCGGTTCCGTCGCGGCGGTAAGATGAAACTGGTTGATGAGAGCATAATTGTTTTTAGATGAACCACAAACGGCCAGTATCTTGGTTATGTACGAGAGGAAACCGGAAGGGTCTCTCTATAAATAGTTATTAAACTTTCTCATATGAATGTAATGTATGATAATTTTATTTTCTTAACCAGTATTCCTTCGTATCCGTTGAATACTTCGTGAGTAGGTGTACTCTCTCTATGGCGTTTCTTTTCATCTACAAGGTCGAGATTTGCATCGTCAACCGAATAAAATTTCCCTCTCATACGCATGCATGAAGAACCATTGAGCCAAGTCGGGACTGAAATATGGCAGGGACT